GGGGAAGATCTGGAGGTATTCTCCCCCAGACAATTTTTGCATTTTTCTATCCCTATGAGTGCAATTCCCTGCATTTTCTGAAACAGATTTTTGGATATACAGCATTACATTATGCTGTAGATATAGACTGAACCTTCAGTTAATGTACTTGCATAGTATCTTTATGCAGAGGTCATCCTAAGAAAATGTTAGAACTGCCCATTTCGACAAGAACAGAGGTAGTGAACACAGGCTAACTAAGTGGCAGACAAGGCTCATGCATTAATCACTGCGCCAGAAACTCCCCTTCAATGAGACATTTTTGCCATGGCGTATTGGATACCTCAATAGCTAGGAGGGTCATGGGGCAATGCTCCCTTGGAAAATTTTGAATTTTAAAAGTCAAGAATGGTCATTTTATGCATTTTCAGAGTAAAAGCTGGATTTATTTTTGCCTTAAATATCTGTATGAGTGCTTAATGTATAATTAATTTTCATATAAAGCTCAAAAACTGGATTTCAGAACTGCCCATTTTAAGTTTCAGAACTACCCATTTTACATTTAGAACTACCTATTTTGGAAAATGCGGGGCCTACGGATGACCCCTGTGTTTATGTAGATACCACAACTTGGTCACTCAGCGAACCAGCTTGATAAACTTAGAGGGCCCGACTCCCACAGAGTGGGAAAATATTGAAAATTTTGCGTCTCTAAATCGTTGGAAATGGCATTTTCAAAATCTTCTCTACCTCTTTTCTTAGGCCCTTTCATTAATTCGTTCATTATGAGTCTATAGTATCCGCGAGTCAGGATGGATTATTATGAGAAGTGTTGTGATCAAAATATCGTTTACAGATATTTGATTATTATAGGCTATATACGATTTGAAATACTTCTAGTTTCGAAATCAATTGGGTTTTTTTGGTGGGGGGCCAAAATTGCCCCCCTCCCCTATAAAACACTGGGTTTGAGTCCGTTGTCCCCTGCGGTCACTAACTTGTTTAGCCGAGCGTTCCAACAACTCAAATCCATAGGGTCTATATATATATATATATATATATATATATATATATATATATATATATATATATATATATATATATATATATATATATATATATATATATATATATATATATTGGCGAAGTATAATTTTAAAAATAAACATTGTCTAAGCCGAGAAAATCAAAGCTGAAGTGTATGTAAATCAGGACAAATCTTTATCTGATTCCCAAACATTGATTAAACATTCATTTCTTTTGTATTTTCCTCGTGAATTATTAATGAATTTTTTAAGTAATCAAAAAATGTGGTAACAATTTGCTCTAAATAACTTTATGTTTTTTAAGTTGTTAATCTATACTAAAGTAAATTGAAAGTCTAAAATTTAATATGTAGTAACACATATCAATATAGTATTTAATTTGTGTCGTTTAATTTGTTCTTGAGCCTCATATTTATTTCACTGTAATCTTTGTTTCGCTGAATTAATTTCGTTTCGTATTTCATTCACTCTATGTATATAATTATCTACGGATATTCATAGCAACTTTTGCCACGTTTTAGAGAATTACTCTGGTTGCATGAATAGTCGATAATACTCACTTCTTCGTACAAAGTTACGGCCTTGCTAAATTCACGAACAATTTTGTACTGCAAAGTGCAAATAAAATCCACACGTTCCTCGTCAGACAGCTTCCACAGATTGAGCTTTTCTTCAACGTCTTGCGCTGCGTCTGAAATTTAAAAAAAAGTACTGTCGTTTGCTTCTGTCAGGCAAAGACAGATAGAGCTAAACGTATAGGTGTATCATGCCAATTTTAAATCGGGGCACAATTTGTGGGTTATTATTGCCGAAATAGTTGTCGAAATTGCACTGGAATTGAATAGTCACACGTTTTACATTGACCCACACCATAAGGAATCGTGCCATTATGTGACGACGAATCCTGTGGTAGGAGCTATAACTAGGGTTTCACGGATATTTCTTCTCCATTAAAAAGGACGAGGATATAGGAAATTAAGTAAAATGTTTCAGGATCTTTTCTCAAGATATGGTAATTCGTTATTCTTACTTTGGTCGTTGGATAATAAGTTCAGACTAGGGAAATGTTTCTAAGAGTTTTAAATTGGGGAATTTGGAAGGCCTTTAAAAATGCATGCATGGTGTTTCAGACTTGGAATATCCTTAGTCTTCACTGCAAATGCAACAAAGACAAAGGAAAGGTATAGACTTTTTGGCGTGGTTCGGATGGGATGAAAAAAATAGGAAGTAACTATTGCAATAAATTCCATGAATCGACTATCTAAACATGATAGTGTCAATCTAAAAGAAATAATAAACTCGTCTCGCTGATCTCACATAAGCACTGGGGCGCTGAACGAGACGCGAGGACTAACGCTGTGCTAAGGCAGTCATCTATGTACCTACCAAGGCAATCAGGTGTGAGATCAGTATCTTGACCGAAGTTCAAACTTTCTACAAACAAAAAAATACCATGGTTAAAACTAGTTGCTGAGGGTGAACATCTTGATGCGGAATATCTATGTACAAGGATTTAATATTCTAAGTGAAAATGAATTTTTGAGTTGAAAAATTAGAACAATATGTTTGTTTTCACATGTTATGCAAACCAGGCTACTAACTTCCCAACGAAGGACCTTTGCTAGAAACGTTGTCATCACTACCCAAAATGACATCGACCGTTAGAGGTTGTATGTTCTGGATTGTTGATAATGCATGACAAACGAGAAAGTATTCACGTACATTAGACTGTTTCCGAAATGAACTAAGAGAACACCAAAGCACTACATGAGAATGACGACACAGGGGACAATCTAGTCTAGTGGAATTGTGTAACTGGTTAGTTATCCAAACTGGTTAGTTATCCAAACTGGTCACGAAATCCCATTCAATCATTAAACACATTATGTATGTAATCAATTTGCCGATATTGTGTTAAAGTTTATAAAAATTAATACTAGCTACCTGGATTCTTCTTGTAGAGAAATGGGATCTTTATATCGTTAGTCAATGGTTCGTTATCATCTAGGTCCTCCACTTGGCTTGGCGTATATAAATCGTCTTCCATAATATCATCTTCGACAGCATCTTGCTGTCTTTCTCGAGCTGCAACTTTTCTATCGATCGAATCAACTGAACAACCTTCCTCATCCTTCGTTGACGATGGCGAAACACTGTAAAATTTGACATTCCATCAATTCTATAGGAGTGCAGCGAAAACTAGGCCTGGGATTTTGAAAAAATCGAGATAGAAGTTTTTCTTGAATTAAGTGCTCATACTCATTATAGCGCCTGCTGATCCCAGTCAACCGGAAAACTCAGCTACAAGAGATCTGCATGCACTTTGTCCAATTTGTCTTCACATTAGAGACGTGTCAGTCCGGCTAGGTGAGGTCTAACTTTGTATTCGGTGTATGCATGGAGATCTCGGTCAAGTGAAATAAAATTTTCCATATGAAGGTTTTATCCAACCAGACCGGAATGGATTTTTTGCCGGTTGAGACGATTATTACTGAGCATCATAATTTACTATACGTCCTCAGGCTCATAGAAATTATAAATAACACTAGAGGAGGCATCGATTTTAAAAATTGGGAAAGCAGCTATTGGGGGGCAAATTCAAGTCCCGGATATAAAATCGTGCTCTCATTGGCTGATTTGAAACTCGTCACCAATGGGAACACGAATACACATCCGGGACTTGAATTTGCCCCCCAATAGTCGCGTTCCCTTTTTTTTACTGAATTAAGATTACAATGCCTCCTCTAGTGTTATTTATAATCTCTATGCTCAGGCTAACAAATTGTTCTTAAATATGACGTGTGCAACTTTGAAACGTTCATTTCACGCAAGCTAATTTAAATTAAACTGCGTGTGCGCACGCGCGCGCTCGTTTTCCTTAATAAAGTATTTGTTTAATATTGGTCTCCAAGTCATCAATCATCCATTTGTTTTGCCTTACTCTAAGAGACTCAATTCCTTCTATAACTTTCCGCCGTCGTAATCTATATTCAATTCTCAATATTCGCGTGTTCTCCCACTCTATTTCTTCCATACACTCTATACCGTGCCTTGCTAAACCTCCGTCTTCTTTCCACATTCGTTCTTCTGCCACCGCCATCCGTCCATTTCTTACATCCTTGTTTGTTAATCTTACTTGCTCTGGTGTTCCTTCTTTCTCACCTTAAACAACCTCGACGTTACCCTACATACACCGCTTTCTTGCACTTGCATGGGACCTCGTAGACAACAGATTTTTGTTTTTCGCCAAGTGGTTTTTGAGCCCTTGCCTTCAATTCCTTTATTTTATTTCCTGGTTTAAATGTCGTCCGAAAATAATGTTTGGAAGCCAATCTTTTGACTTGTTCTGATAAGCCCTGGATGTAAGGTACAACTATCATTCCTCGAAATCCTTTGATGATGCCTTTTTTCATACAAGGAGGATGATTCGATTTCGCTTTAATATTGATGTTGGTGTGTCTTATAATGAACCATACACTTGTTTCAAATCTAGTACTGGCAACGTATCTTCTACTTGATTCTCTTTCGTGAAGACAATGACGTCTGGTTTAATGCTATTCAGGTGTTCGAGTATTTCTTCGGATTGATCTTCCTTGCACTTCATTTTACTGTCGTCCACATACCAATTCCATTGATCTAGGGGATATGGAGATGTTTTCATTGCACGAATTTGAAACTCTTCCATATAGATTATGGCGACCTCACCAGTTACTCCAAGACCAATTGGTCCACATTCTAATATGCAATGCTTGCCGTCAAACTCACAATAAGACAAGCCAAACATCCATTTCAATATTTCCATTACCGACTGTACGGTTAAGTCAGTTATATTTACTAAGGTTTACTTTTTCTTAACAACTTTTCAATCAATTTTAATGCCTCATCTATTGGGATCAATGGATATAAATTCTTCACACCATACCTCACGAGTATCTCGTTTCTCTCCACACGCCAGTTCTTAACTTTTTCTTTCAATTCTCGCGAATTCTTTAGATAAAGTCTACTTCTTCCCTGAATTGTTCTCAGAATTGGAATGACAAATCTTGACAGTTTTTCAAAAGGCGATCCAACCGTCGAGACCACCCCTTTCAATGGAACACCATCTTTGTGTATTTTTGGCAATCCTGATAACCTAGGGGCATGACAATCCTCTGGTTTTAACCGTTCCGAATCATTCTTTGAAACTTCTCCGTTTTCGACAATTCTTTCAATAATCCTTGTACCTTCTCGACAAACTTTATCGGTCAAGTCCCAGTAATTTTTTGCTCTTATGGAAGGTTTTGCCTTGAGATTAACCAATACTTGTTTCATCGTGTAGTCATAACTTTGTTCACCACCTTCACTTTCAAATCTATCCATAGCTACCATTATCCGTCATTTATCTGCCGGTAAAAATACTTTTATTTTATCTTGTAGAGCTTTCTTTTTTCCGTTTAACTCTTCTTTCGTCAAATTCATTTTATATTTCTTGTGTCTAGCATTCTCCAAAATAACTTTTACATTTTCATGTATTTCACCAATTTCATGTTCAACTATTTCTTCATCAATTTCATTAATCTCGCCTTCTCTCTTTATCTTTGTACACATTTTCTCTGTTTCTGCTATAATATGTTCATACGAAACTCTTGTGGGAGCTTCACAGAAACCTGGTCCAAAGACAAGTAGCTCTTGATATCATTGTCGATACCATCTTCCGTTAGATCAATGACTTCATTCTTTATCTTTTCTTTCTTCATTCATTCTTTCTTGGTCTTCTAACAATTGTCTATTTTTATTCTCGAGATCTTCTTTTTCTTTTATCAATGCGTCAAACTTTCTCACCTGTCTTTTCTTCACACTCTCGTTTTCTCTGTTTTCAGAAACTCTGATAACTTGTTCTACCCAATGAAAATCATCTTGCGTGAAAGTTTCTTTCAAGTCCATTAAAATATCTCTCTTTTGCTGATTTACATAATATAGTTTTCGACGAATATCTTTAATCCGGGTTTGTACTCGTGTAGTTTTCAATCTTTTTTTCATTCGTGTAACATTACCTACTTTAAACTCATCTTTTAATAACCGTACTCGAAGTCCTTGTGGAACAACACCTCTATCTCTGCATTTTCTTAAGAATTTTAGATGATTATTTTTAATTTTGTAAAGTGCGAAATTCTTAAATTCAAGAAAAAGGCAGAAAATCTTTAACTGCAGAATCATGGTCGACTTTCAAATTCTAGAATGTACTTTTGTGCCTTAATTTGGAGTTCAATAGGATTCACTATATACTTTAATGTAAAATTAATTCATTTTATTTAAATATGTCTCTTCAATTTAATATGTCGGGTAAAACGTTTCAAAACTTGGATAAAAGGGTTCTGCGCCTAGACAACCCAAAATCAGTGGTGCCGACGAACAGTTTGCTCGACGATAAAATAGATTTTTGCTTTGGGCACTAGCTTTTATGTCAATTAGATATCGGTAAAGCCACTTTTTTTGTTCGACAAAAGCAAATATTTAACAATTAGTCGAAAGCGAGGGGCGACTAATTGTTTTAGTATGATTTCAGTTTTGAAAAAGTTTAACTCATGTATGTTATTTAATGTTTCTGTATTTTGAGGATTTTCAGCCATTTTGGGGGAAAAGCCTAAAAGTTCTTTTTCCTAAAAGTTACTGCTGAGAGAGCCAATAAGAATGCTCAGATGCCATTTTTCAATACTAAAATTATACTAATTACTGTTATTCTAATACTGTAATTAACCAGCTCACATAAGTGATATAAAATACATCTTAGTGAATTAAGATTGGCTTAAAACCGACAAGACTGAAATGTTTATCACTGAAATTACGAAATTGCAATATCATTTGTCTTCGATCGCCAATTCATGTTTGTGGCCTTTGTTTCACGGATACTACATGACAGCCAAGAATTTATGAAACTCACTCTAATCTTGTTTCCATTTTCAGCAAAATCCCAAGACGTATAGCTGTACACTTTGCCAATCAATACAGAATACTATCTGTCCTCTGGCTTTTCTTTCTCAAGTACACTTTTCCCCTCTTCTCTGGGATCTTTTGAAATCTTTCTTACTGCATGTTTATCTTCTTCATTTTCATTTGCGGCTTTTTATTCTCACCACTCGGCATTTTCTTTTATAAAATTTCATATTGTTTTATTATAATTAAATGTTGGCGAAATAAAGAATAAAACATTTGCAAAATGAGAGTTATTAAACTTGTGACGTGATATATAGTCCGTGTGTGACCTCGAAAAGCGGCTGGAAAACGATTTTCATTAAGCATTTTTCAAATGCATTAATAATTCATGAACAATTCAGCCAATGATAATCATCTATTTGACCACAAGATGCCACTTGGATACTTGATGAAAGTCACTAGTGTTTTCATCAAATATCGTAATTACGCATGCAAAATTACTTGAATAGAATTCCTACTTACGTTATGCTTGGTTAAGAATCCTAATCAAATCAGCAAACGAAAACATTTTGTTACGTCTCGATTCATGTGAGAATCCATATAAACAACTCGAGCTCGTGTCTCACCGGGATATCCATGCAAACACTCAAAAACAATGTATGAATAAAACACTCGCGCTTCGCGCTCGTGTTTGGATATCCCGGTTAAACACTCGTTCTCGTTGTTCATATATTACTTCTTAGATCTGAAATATTTTTACAGGAACTAACACTTTCCAACACACTGAGTTCAAATCCGAAATATTCCCACTCCGTAGACCCGCAGTTTTCCCACAAACTGCTATTTTATCTTCACTAATTTCACAGCAAATTTTTTCATTGTTCAACGACACGGGTCGATGACGATGCACGATTATGTCACTCAAAAGGATCATTCGACAATTTCTATTAACCGTTCTTTCTTTTAACAAAAGACCGGTTTTGCTCGAATCATTTTGAGTTATGCAATCTTATGCGTGTTGGACGTAAACAACCTATCTTACATGCGATCAAAACGTTTTATAGAACGATGTAAAAGGTAATCTATATGTAATGGATCAGCATTTAAATTTCCTACACAGTTTCTGAGATGTATTTCAAGAGATAACTATCATTACATTTCGATTATTACATCAGTTGGTGTTATATTGTGCGATAAGCGAATATTATTGGAAAGAGGGCTTCCATATACGTTGAAATCGCCAAATAAACAGCTCATGCACGCATTTCTCCACTTCGTCGTAAGTTTAAAGAGCAGTTTGGGACTGATCTTTGTTTTTGATGTGAACATTTATTCTTATAGTTTAAGGTTATTTAAGATTGATCCTGTCGCAAGTGTTCTACCAGCAACCAATCGACAATATTTAATAGATAATTACTGAGGCCAACGGCATTATTCGATATATTGCAGCCAGCTGAGGCCGAAGGCCGACGCTGGCTGTAATATATCGAATAATGCCGTTTGGCCTCAGTAATTAAACTGGACAAACACGGGAATAGAACTTATGATGTGTTCTGCACATGCACGAAACTATTTCTCTATGAAGTTTAGCCTGCATGGCAGGCGGTACGTAGGAAATACCGCCTGCCGCAAAACTGGGTGTAAATGAACTACCGCCCCTGAAGCATCAACGCTATTTATAGATGCATTAATTAAGTAAATATTCAAAATTAGCCACTCCCAAGCTGCTCCCAATTAAGTCCCAACTGCCCAACATAAAATAAATTCCTTGATTCTCATCACCGCCCAACTGAATTTTAAAATCCTCGTGAAAACGTTTTATTTTTAGTTACACAATATAAATGTACCGCCCGACAAAATAATTCAAGACAGTTAATTTTTTCATATTTTATATAGAGGTTTTATTGCCATTTTAAACTTCCAATTTGAAACAAACAGAATTTTGAGTGAAATTTCATTGTATTTTAAAGAAACTCAGTCATTCTGTCATTGTTTGTGGAGATACGAACTATTGATATATAAATTATATAAATATAAAATATAAAAAATAAATCTCCCACTGTCTTCGACATTTCAAAGTGTAGACTCATGTCTAGTGATGAGAATCAAGGAATTTATTTTATGTGTTAATATAAACCAAGCCCGTTTAGCTGCCTTAAAACGGTGGTTTAATAAGCTCAAAATACAAAGCATGCAAGTCTATACTATAGATTCATCATCAGTCAACAACCAAACTGAAAGTTTTGAACCTTATAGAACGACTTACAACTATACATATTCAACGGGTGTATAAGAGTTTAACTGTTATTTGATAATAGTGAGTTTAAGATACCCCGGTTTCGGTGTACGGGTACGAGTAGTGTCATCTTGTTTACTAGTTTTTACTGATGTCTGTAATTCGATCATACTTTTTCTGTTTTCTTGCAATAGACAATGATATAATGCGAAAAATGTGCACCTTAATTACGAGTAAAGGTACAGACATCGATGAAAATATTGCTAACCAAAATCATGCTACCCGTACCCGTACATCGAAACCGGGGTATCTTAAACTCACTAATTACTGCATCAACCGGGGCCTAGTGGCCTAGTTTATACTTTGGAGGTTCGTATATCTATCAAGTATCTTTGGTTCAGAACATGATAGGCCTATATGAAAATCCCACCGTTCGATTCAGTGAAGAAATATCTCCTAATTTCTATCGATAGTTTTAGTAAAATGTCAACATTATTGCGATTTATGGCCTTTGAAAGTCAAGCGAGATCGTATATTATCAAATTATAAATACGCATGTAAATGATGTAATTGTCTGAACGAAAATATAGACTAGCCCATACCTTTCGCCGATCATAACTTCGGCCCCTTCGGACGTATCTTCTTTGTTAAATATTCTTGTTCGAATCTTTATCAATAACACTATTTAGAGTGTTATTTTTCAGCTTGTATCTTTTAATTTGCTTCTTTTATTATGTTATTCCATTTCTGGTCTGACTTGACGTGAACTAATTTCAAAACGCAGAGTTTCAAAACGTCGAAACATTTGGTTAATGATTAACATTTAACCGAATTTAGCCGTTGATTGACAACTACATAAAAATACTAACCAATCCGTTTTTCCCGTTCACCAGCGGACGGGTAATTCAAAAATCCCTAGTTTTGCGGCAGACGGTATTTCCTTTGCTTCCCTAATTTTCGCTGCCCGTAGAAATACCGCCTGCCATGCAGGCTA